AAAAAAAAAAAAAAAAAAAAAGTCAATATTTGGTTGGACCGCCTTTCGCTTCGATTGCAGCACACATTTGCTGTGGCATCTGTCCAAAGCTGCATCTTGTATTGATGATGGGAGACTGAGTGAAGTCTTCTCCAGCACATCCTAAAGATTCTCAAAGGGTCCAGGTCTGGACTCTGGTGGTCAATGTGTGTGAAAATGACGTCTCGTGCTCCCTGAACCACTTTCACGATTTGAGCCTGACGACTCCTGGCAGTGTCGTCTTGGAACGTGTCCATGTCACCAAAGAAAGAAGGTAAATGGACTGTACTCCTACGTCACCTTTCGATCTTATAAAGACACTTGAAGCTCTTTACAACACTTACCCATTCATACAGCACTCTACTAGATCTATACAAAAGAATAATCAGTGTTTTATCACGTTCATACACTGATGGGACACACAACAGCAGCAATGGAGGGGTTCAGTGTCTTGCCCAGGGACACTGGCATGCGACTGCTGGTGGAATCAAACCCCCAACTCTCCCATTAGAGGATGACTGCTCTAACCAATCAGCCACAGCTACCCCACAGATGGAATAACCTGGTCATTCAGTATATTCAGGCATTGTTTGGGCACATAACGTTGCTGAACCTAGACCAGACCAACTGCAGCAACTCCAGAACATAGACTGCCCCACAGGCTTGTACAGTAGGCACAAGGCATGATGGGTGCATCACTTCAGCTGCCTCCCTCTCTTTGCCTCTCCCACCGTTCTTCCAGGTTTTAATAACGTGTTCGACAGTTAACTCAATTTTATCAGTTTCATTAATTTATGCCAATAGTGTGACCCTTTGAAACAAATCAACATATATACACAACCACAGGAGGGGACTGTCCAAAGGTTGTTTAACAAATGAGCTACTCACTGCATCCGTTAGGGTTAAACTTGCCAGATGAAACAATCACCCGTGCAGTAATTATTCAATGGGAGGCTCTTACCTCTTTGCTGGGTTAAATCCAGGTGGTGACCTTATATTTTTTATTTTTGGCATAGCAGTGCAATTTAATCGTTAAAGATAATACAGTCAGTTCTTCGGCTCTACCTTCCCCATGAGATGCAGGCGATCCTCGGTCGGCGAGTCGAGGTTTCTGAGATCCAGAGGAACTTCCACTTCTCCCAAAAAGGTGTTCCTGCTGAGACGGCCGCGATGCCAAACGGACATCAACACGGAGCGAGCGACCAGCTGAGAGCGGCTGACTGAATACTGGAGGGGAGAGAAAATGTCCGTCAGAAGCCCGCCTCGCTTCAGAGGTGTTAAATAAAAATCAAAAAACACGGATTAAAGAAGAACAGAGTTTTTTTTGTCTGACGTTTGTAAAGTTTATATAAAATCTAAAGTTATAGGATGCACTTGTTGCTACTTTTCCCATCATTGCAGTTTTTAAGCCGACTCAACTGGAAGCAAAACTCAATATTTGACAGCAGCTGTACTTATTTGCCAAGTCAATATGGAAGTCATGGTCGCCTGCACGCAGGTGTGGTTATTCTGAACAGGCCAAGAGCGACGAGGTCAGTCAGGGAGTGTCAAACAGCTCAGGTGCAAAGCATCACCTTCAACGTTTCATTGTAGACGGGGTTGATGGTGTTTTTCTTGACGCTGGTCTTTCTCTTGCTCTGACGAGATTTGTCAGGGAGCAGATAACATTTAACGTAACTGAAACAGAAAAACAACAAAATAACGTAAAATCTCTTTTCTTTGGCCACAACTACCAGAGTTCTGCAGCGTTTCCTGACAAAACGAGTGGGAAAAAATAAAAATAAAAAAATCTGTTGAAATTCAATTTCCTGTGAAGCTCAGCTAATCACACAGGGATAGGTAGAGGCCATGTAAACAAAGAAATCTTTAATCTGCGGTGATCAAAGCCGTGGCATCACTGAGGAGATAAGACTTTTTACAAACATTTTCAAAGTTAAAGTCTGAGCAAACTGTTTCAAAGTGTTTAAAAGTCGGGAGTTGAAGACTTACGGGTTGGAAAGCTGTCGTGAAGCATCCCCGAAGGCCAGCTCGTGACACTCCTGGATGAACACGTGAAGACTCTGAGTGTGTTCGTCGTACTTCACGGAGAAGACGACGTCGCCGCTCACCTCCACGCTCTCAAAGTCTCCCGAGTCACTGTAAATACTCGTCAGGCTGCCCAGCGTGCTCTGCTCAAATTCACAAGAATCATTGACGTCTGCGTTTGTTCACGGACAATTATTGACTAAATCAGCAAATTATTAGTCAGGCATTTTGTAAAAGCTGTGTGGAGTTTTGTCAATATCTAAATTAAGTGAACCACAAGGTTTAGAACCAGCAGCTTTGCTTAAGGAACTTAAAAAGTACCGGACATAAGAAATCCAGAGTTTTATGACCCGAGTCCTGCAGAACGTGAGAAACGTTTCTACCTTTGAGCCCTGCAGGCTGGAGGAGCTCCGTGCGATCGTCATCTTGTGAAAGCTCACCAAGCGGTCGATATCTTCTTCCTCGTCTTCACCATCCTGCAGCACCATGAGAACATTTGGTGGACTTAATATCTTTACTCACATTTGTCAAACAGATTTATAGCTAAAAATCTGACGGACACAAAAAAGGAATATAAAATTATTGTAAAATATAGTTCCGTCTTCAATCTTTAAGTGTTGCAGATTTCGTTCATTTTAAATGAACTTTGTGTTTTTAAGAAAATCTTCCCGAGATGAGCAACATCCTCCTGGTTTATGAAACAATATTACACCTCTCGTCTTCAGGACAACAAATTAGTTTGCTTTTAAATTTAGCACAAACAGTTTCCATTAAAAGGTGATGAGCACCTGTTTGATCAGTTTAAACAATCTAAACTCGGCACTCGTGCTCCGTTTAAGATTAAAAACACGTCAGGCATTTAGTTGAAGGTTATAACTAAACTGTACAAGAAAACTCAGATGTTCATCTTCTCCTCAGACTCACCTGAGTGTCCAGGCCAGGTACAGAGCGGCTCCTGTTGCCCATCGAGGCTTCTGATGCGTCGCATCCATCACGAAGGTCCAGTGTTGATAAACACTCTAATAAAACAAGTTAAATTAAAACGAGTGTTTCACTCAACAGTGGACATCTATAATAAACTGCTCACCTGTGGGTTTTGGGGCTCGTTTGATACTTTTCTTAAAGATTCGATCAACTTCAAGCTCCACGCTCAGATCAGCTGGTTTCTCTTCCTGCAGGGACAGAGAGCTGCGGTCAGAAAACAGAACGACAAGAATAAAAATAAATTTATTTATTATTTTTTTTTTTTTTTTAAAAAGGAGGAAGAGAAATTCTCACAGTTCTGGAGCCACCGTGTGTGCTTAAAGGAGCTGCTTTGACTGGAACAGTCAGACTGGAAACAACGGATCCTGCTGGGCTAGACCGAACAGAACTGTGATCTCTGGATAAAAAAAGCAAAATAAAAAAAAAAATAAAAATAAAAGAATTGACACGATTCAGATCCATTTTCTGGCACAAAATTCATTCCTCAGTTTTTGTTCTACTTCAATAATTGATGGGTCAAAACATTCAGCTCATTCAGGACATTTCGGCTGTGACTTGGCATTCGTACAAGTTTTACTTTTTGAAAAATACAGTTTAGCCATGTTTTTCCTCATTAAAAATTAATGGTGCCCTCTTCACACCCTCCATTAAACCTGTGTTGTTTACATCCTTCTACTCATTTCAGCTTTTGTTCTGGTTTTGCTTTTTACAGCTCCTTTCAGCCTCTTTCTGCCAATTTCAGCCTTTGTTTTTTTTTTATGCTAATTTTGGCTTTTTTTCCTGCCTTTTCATATTTCTAGTTATTTTTCAGGATTTCTTTTACTTGCTTATACACATTTTTATTCTTTCAAATAATTTCAACTTGCGCCTTTCAGCCATTTTTTTTTTTTTTGCCAATTTCAGCTTTTTTTTTTTTTTTCCCCAATTTAAGAGGTTTGAAATGTATTCAGCCTCTCAGCCCATCTCTTATTCAGCTGATTTCTGCTGCTTTCAGCAAATGTCAGCCGATTAAATTCAACTTGCATCAACCCGATTTTAAACTTCTTCAGCAGCTTGCAATGCAACGCAATTTCTCTTTAGTCTCCATCCATTACTCATCACTGAACATTTAGAGTTTTGGAAACTTAACTTTAAGATAAAATAAATAGGACATTATTTCAGGTCTTTATCTGACCCAGCTGTATTTGTCTAATAGATATGTGGGTTGAAGAGACTGAACTGTTCCTTACTTCAAATGTTAAGTCAGAGTGGTGCTTGTTGGAACAATGATCTGAGAGTTTACCTCGGCTTCTCAGGAGTCGTACGACCAGATTCAGTCTCAGCTTTGTCACCGATGCTGCCGGCGTTTTCTGCAGACTCCGTGTTGTTCAGCGTCGGCTTTGAAGGAACATTACTCAACTCCAGTGATTCCCTTGAAGCAATGGATCCTGAGTTCTTATTTGACTGACTGTCAAAAATAAAAATAAAATAAAGAAAAAAGGATGAACTAGTCCTAATGCATGTTATGAAAAATACTGAACAGACTAATACCTCGGGTTAACTGGCAGAGCTTTCTGTCTGGGCAGAGGCACTGGTTTGAGAACATCAGCGTTCTTTTCAATTCTCAAGAGAACCTCTCCCGTCGTCTCACGCTTTTTAACTGCAACTTTTCAGAAAAACAAACTTGACGTCAGACACAATCGCTCCAGTTGAAATAAAACAGCAGCTGCAGCTACGACAGGGAAGGTGCCATTGAACGGCTGATAATCACTTCCTGTTCCTGGACTAACCTGGTGTTCTTCTTTTCAGGGAGACCCTCACCAGGCTGTGTCCAGGAGCTGCAGAGAAACGGTTGATCCTTTGATTGTAGAACCAATCCCCAGTCCTCTTCTTTAAATCCCTACAATTTGTTACACATACTTTAAAGTCTGGAAATTATACTCAATAGAATTATAGATGAGTGAGGAGTAGCACTGCTTGAAATGACCAAACAGTTCTCAGAGAGCTGTGTCACAACAAAAGAAGTTACATACAGGACAGATCATTAAAACACATTTACTATAAACAGAACCGTTTTCCACACATGATCTTCTTGACTAGTTGTTAAAGGTTTTACCATGTAATAAAATGGAATCACCTTAAATCATTAAACACCCCTTATAAATTCAATGATTTCAGGTTTAATATTTTCCTGCTTTAAAACGTTGAAAGTTATGAAGAAACCGATTATTTGGGTGCATCCCGGTGTCAAAACATTCATTTCTGCACCGAAAATAAAGAGTTGTTCTAAACTTTTTTTTTTTTTTAAGGGTAAAGCAAGTCTCTTTTCCAAAACAGGTTGGTAATAAACACACATCAGTTTTAACTCTTCCCATCATAGTAGACTACATTATATGGTCTGGAGGCAGAGGCATAGTCAAAAAGACAGGAGACAGAACTGGCTGAAATGAAGATGTTGAGGTTCTCCTTAGGATAAGATCAGAGGTACAGCACAGGTTGAACAACTGGGAGATAAAGTTAAAGAGGTCAGACTGAGATGGTTTGGACATGTCCAGAGGACGGACTGTGGGTATATTGGTAGAAGGATGTTAGAAATGCAGCTGCCAGGAAAAAGACAAAGAGGAGATATATGGATGCAGTTAAGAGGACAAGGTGGTTGGAGTGAGGACAGAGTGAGATGGAGGATGACTCGCCGTGGCCCTGAAAGAAAAAGCTGAAAAAAGAAGATGGTGGACTACGTCTGAGGAACTGTGCTTCTTCAGAAGAAAGTAAACACTGATGTAAGGAGATACTTTTATTGACTGAAATCTAAAACTGTTTATAGCAGTCATTACAGCAGACTGGTAAATAACTCGTCTGAGAGAATAAAATAAAAACAGCTTGGAGGAGAGATTCTCCAAAATGTCCAGTTAACCCATCTGCTGCCTTAAAAAGTGTAGAAGCTGTTTAAATGGATTAAAAAAAAAAAAAAAAAAAAAAAAAAAAAAAAAAAAAAAAGTGTGACTACAGATTCTAGTAGATTACAGAAAACAAAATGTCTTACGATTCTTTTGTACACACGCTGCACAGCCAGGACCCGCTGGGCAGGAATGTTTGGCAGTTCCGGCACACAAAGTGATTGCACATCTGACACCGGCTGGAGAAAACTGCCAGGCGGCTCAGCGGCTCCTGGCATCGGCCACAGCTGTGCTCGCTGTATTTTCTGCTGCCGTGTTTGGCTCCTTTCCTCTTGACTTCCAGCAACTCCGTCTTCAGCTTCCTGAGATAAAATAATCAGTAAGATTGATGACATGCACTTTAAAAACAGGAATGGGTAAAAAAAAAAAATAATAAAAAAAATACTTAGAAACAATTCAGCATTAAAATAAAGAAAATCTTAAATTACTTCACAAATAGGAATAATGAAAACAATACGTGCTTATTACATTTCATCTATTAGTTGTAATATTGAGATAAAAAAAAAAAACTAACTGACCCACGCTGGAAAATTAGAGGAATTTGTTCATTTTGAGTAAATCTTATTTTTATAAATTCGCCATTAATCTTTAAAATGATGAGAGTTGATTCATAATCCATCAAACTAGTTTTGTTTGAGTGCCGGCTTGAAAACTTGATTTGCACAAGTAGAATGATGTCATCGGCAGCCGTATATTAAATAAATAATAATAAAAAAAAAAAAAAAAAAAGGGATAATTCCCAAACTTCAGTGACAAACATTATACAAAGAGATTTCCCGTGAGAAAAATGGTCAATTTCAAAAAGGAAATAAGGATCATAAAAACAAAAAGGATTATTTCTGAAGACGGTTTAAATTAAGACTCCATGTCATTTTATTTACAGGGATAGCCAGATAGTGGTTTTATGGACTAACTTTTTCAAGCAAATCACGGTTATGAAGAAAATCTTTTTCCCTTTGTGTTTTGCACCGCAGCCTGTGCTCATTCCGATTCATCTCGCCAGCACAGATCACATGGGTGACCCTTCACATCGAAACAAGGATTAAGTCACAAGGTGGTATGTTGAGATAAAAGCAGCTATACTGCAGACATTGAAAACAGCCAAATTAGCATTTTGTGTGTGTAAAATTGAATAAATGCCATGTCTGTGTGTCCCTTGAATGAAATGGTCAAAAATGTAATCCTAAAGATTGTTTTGAAGCAGCAGAAAAGCCTTAAAGATGCTTCTTTCTCTGTGTGCAAGCAAAACCCAGCTGTAAATCATCATCCAAATACAGCTGGTTCTCTTAAATGACGTCAAAGAAATCATCCTTAGAATACACCAAAAATATGAAAATGCGATTCAGACCAATTTTCCTGAGCAGCAAGACAAATAAGATTATCTAGGTATCAAAACATGGCTTAAAATGCCATCCATCTATCTTTACCCACTTCTTCCTGTCTGAGTCACTGGTGCCCATATTCAGCCATCACTGGGGGACACCCATGACAGGTCTCCAGTCCATCACAGGGACAAAAACCATTCACTTCTCACTCACACCAAGGGACAATTTAGAGTTGCCATTCAGTCCAACATGCATGTTTTTGGTCTGTGGGAGGAAACCGGAGCACCCGGAGAAAACCCACACATGCAGAGCAAAACATACAAACTCCACCCAGAAAGGCCCCGGGCCAGGATTTGACCCGGCAGCCTGCTCACCGAGAGGCGGCAGCTCTACCAACTGCGCCGCTTACAAAGCTAGGAACCTGGAAATGTATTTTGTTCATTTTGACCAAATCCAGCTTCATCCTCCGTTCGATATAATGGGTCAAATTTCCAGGTTGTCCAGCAGACAACCTCAACAGAATCCCGTTTGTTTTCGCTGTCCACAACCTTTTATAATAAAGAAGGCAAAAAAATAAATAAAAACAACATTTTAATTTAATATTGCACAGTATACAAAGTTTATTATATACAATTGTTCCCAGTCAGATCTTGTGAACTGCTTGGAATTTCCAAGTTACTGGGAGGCAGACTCTCAGGAGCTGCTGCAGTGAACTTCCTCGTTCTCCTCCTCCTCATCCATGTCATCAGACTTGGGAAGAGAGGCACTCGTCGCGTATTTAAAAGCAAGGATAAACCTCAAGACACTTCAATTACCCACATATACAAGCACGTGCACCCCCCCCCCCCCCCCCACACACAGAAGCAAGTTTCTTTCAGCTGCTCCATTCTTCTGCATGAAAGACATGGCGATTTGTTTTACGCAGGATGCCCTTCCTGACGCAACCTGGGCTCAAACCCACAACCTCAGGATTACACGACAGCAGCAATGACCTCCAAGCTACTGCAGCCCCTCAATATTTAATCTAGTTTTTTTAAGCTTGCCATTACCATAACTTTTTGAATGTTCGTGATATCGGAAAAGTTTTAACGGTTTTTGAAAAATGAGAAAATGCACTTTTCAGCCAATATAGGCTTATTATGGCTACCAGACTCCTGCTGTTGCAGGAAGCCCATGAAACAGACGCTCTGTACCCCTCCTCCCACAGACTCCTCATGCAGGACATTGGGGCAAAATGTGAGACTGTCCTGCCAAAATTGGTATGGTTGAAAATACATGCCCCACTCCCCCCTTCATTTTTACAGATGATGAAAATCCACTGCAGCGACAGAACCGGCGATCCCTGTGCGCGTGTATACATTCTGTTGGAGTAAATGTCTCATCTTTGTTGCGTGGCTCCTAGTGTAAATTTGAACAGTGCACCATGTACTATGCAAATAGAACAGTGTTCAATACCACTCCTAAATAGCTCGAGTATCGACACACCAGAACACGGAGCAACCTATAACCCTCAATAAATATGAAGGACTTAAAACTGAAATCCAGTTTAACCTGGACTAAAGAGATGTTTGCAGGACATGTTGCCATGGTCATGTACACTGATAAGAATTTCTAATAACTTGATTTAAACTCAAGTTGGGACACTCGTCTCACCGTACGCGCTGCTCCTCGACCAGCCTCAGCTCCTCGTCTCGCCGCAGCACCTCCAGGATCATCTCCCGCTCCGAGTCAGACAGGTAACCCAGGTTGATCAAATCAGGAGCCTCCGGCATGGCGTCCTCACCCAGAACCGTCGGGGGGGCAGGTGAACTTGTTCAGCCTTGTTAACGCTGCATTGAGGTCCCTGGAGATTCAATACAACAGGAATGGACCGGAAAAATTAAGTTAAACTTTTATACAGCTCTTTATATAATAAAACAAAAAAGGTACAGGATCTGGCGAATGCTGGATTAATTCCTGTAAACAGTAAAAGCACACATTTAATCATGAAATGAAACTGAAGGAGTAAATCTGGAATAAACTTAGTCCTCAAAACAAACCAGTCAATGATTAATTGATGGAAAAAAAGCAGGATGTGGTTTTTAAAATCCCACAGCAAGCCTCTGTTTGGGTTAAAGGTTGTTTCTTCAGTCCGAGAGGCTAAAACAACATGAACTTGGCTTTCATGAAGGGTTCCCACCCTTAAAGGATACAGAGGACAAGCACTTCAACATCTGCCATCTGAAACTCATCATGTGCCTTTATAATAATAAAAACAGAAAGTGGAGCATTACTGCATGTAACACACATTTTCCTCATCGTTTAAATGCCAACTAACTCAAGCTCAGCAGTCAAAACCTGCAGGACAGCTTCTTTTAAAAAAGGAAAACATCAATTTGTAGCAGGAAATGGCGCTTGTGTTGTTCCTTCATCTCTAATGCACCTGTTAACATTACAATAAGTTTTAAAACCACTGCACTGCAAGTGGCTACAACAAGCAAAACTGACAAGAGCATGCTTTAACTGTTAAGTGACGGCGATTGTTCTTATTACAGCCTTCGTTTTCCTCGATGTGTTCGGTTCAAATTCAGATTTAAAGCGATTAGAAAGCCCACCGTTAGCCGCTAACGGTTACGTTCAGTCGAGTCGACGTACGTCAAAATAAAAAATAAAAAAAAAACAGTACATTAAATTATCCACGTCAGAATCAACCCAGTCTGGTTTAAACTCGCAGTAAAAAGGCTAAAATGAAAAATTGTTATCTTTACAGCCAGTCTGTAAAAATGAGGCTAATTGAGGATTAGACACACCTGCTGCTGCTGCTGGTGGGGAAAAGTCGACAACACTCCGCTTTTATCCACAATATTCTGACACAACCGCGACAAAAACTCATGACAATAAACTGAACCGACTACATTTATCGCCCACGACCCTCATCCGTTACCTCGCCCTTGTTCTCGTCTCCTGTCGACAAAACTCCCGCTCGTGAAGCCGACGCTTTCTTCTCCTTTTCTTTGGATCCCAGCGAAGCGCAGGTGTTGCGTCGCGCTACTTATCCCCCGAACTTGTGCTCCCGCCTCACGTCTCGGGAGCGCGCGCAAGTAAATATTTTTGCTGCGACTCTAAAGTTAAACGATAAGTTGATCGCTCACAACACAAACTAACAATAATCACACGAAAACATTAAAACGCGTTACTATTTTGAGGGTTATTAAGTCGAAGTCGACGCGTTTCCTGCTTTGTGCGCGCTCCCGAGACAGGGGGCCCAAATCCAAATCCTTTCGGGATAATTATTTTGGCACAACATCTGTTGGTTAAAGTTTGAGCTTGGAGCGAAAAGTATGGAAGACCATTTCTGTCACTCAGAAGCAAAAAAAAAAAAAAAAAAGATCCAAGACTTACATGTGCATATAAAAAAAGTAGAATATCGTGGAAAAAAGTTATTTTTGTCAATCACTTCAGAAAGTGAAACTCATATTACATAGATTAATTACACTGAGTGAAATATTTCAAGCCTTTATTTCTCGTGATTTTGATGATTATTGCTTACAAATAATGAAAAACCAAAATTCAGTGTCTGGAAATTAGAATATTACATAAGCGGCTTTCGTCAGTGTGGGCAGGAGCCAAGTCCTGCTGGAAAATGAAATTCAGCATCTCCATAAAGCTTGTGAACAGAAGGAAGCATGGCGTCTCTAAAATGTCTTGCTAGATGATGCGTTGACTGTGGACTTCAGAAAACACATTGGATCAACAGCGCACCCCAAACCATCACTGCCTCTGGACTTCAAGCAACATGGACTCTGGACCTCTCCACTCTTCCTTCAGACTCTGGGACCTTGATTTACAAATGACATGCAACATTTACTTTAATCTGAAAAGACGACATTGGACCACTGAGCAACAGTCCAGTTCTTTTTATCCTCAGCAGGTAAGACACTGATGTTAATTAGCTGATTAGAGTGTAACACCGCGACTTTCCAAAATTTAACCTCGTCACAATAGTCAAATTTTCTGAGACACTGAATTTTAGTTTTTCAACATTTATAAGCCATAATCATCAAAATTACATGAAATAGAGGCTTGAAATATCCCTGTCTTTGTGTAATAATAATATGAGTTTCACTTTCTGAAGTGATTGACTTAAAAAAAATAAAACTTTTTCATGATATTCTAATGTTTTGATATGCACCTTTTGTCTCACATGATCTAAAATTTTAAATTTAATTTCAAAATTGACTTAAACCCTGTTTACACAATGCCGTCTTTAAGTGAAACCAGATCATTTCTGTTGTGCTTCAACTGCTTGCATGCGTGACGTGTTTTTTTCTAACACCCTAAAGTTTTGAATTTAGGTTTCAGAGTGGACGTTTTTGGAAACTAATGTCATTGTTTCATTGGAAAAACACAACTTACGTGAAACCTCATGTTCTCACTACGGACGGCTGCAGTCAACACCGTTTATGCGTGAGTGGATCATCAACAGTAACAATGGTGGATAGCTGTTTGTGCAGACTCCGTCTTCATTTTCCTGACCCTTTTCAGATTCGTAACGCGTCCTGTGTGTGTCGTTGATATACAGAAATCACAGCACTAGCTCGTGACCTGGTGTGTAAACAGTGGCGGATTCAACGTTGTTTTTTTGGTCTCGTTTAAGCAGCGATTGCGATCACAACGCATCCAAGTTTACGCAATCCGTGTAAACTTAAATTTTCACAATATACATCAGAAAATCTATAATGTTTCTATATTGTTCATGTGTAAACCGGGTCATCGATATGATTAGGGATTGCTGATGGAGATTTTGTTGGCACTCAACACTTGATTTAAAAAATGGTTGATTGTCTGAGGCTTCAGTGCTTGAATAATATATCCAGTGGTCAATAAAATTAAATGCAATTGAGACATGTCTTTATCAACTCCTACCAGTTTGCATTTTACAGCATACTTTTATGGCATGTCTGATTGTATCCCTTTATATTATACACTCATAACATATTTTGTGCCATGAAACATTTAAATTGTCCTGATCCATTCATAAAAAAAGCTTTACTAATAGAAACTGATGTAATTTTCACATGGGGCTGGTGCAAATACACATTGTGGATGTTGGCAACGTATGTTTTGGGGTTCAGTGGTAACAGTGTTCATGTGTGCGGGTAAAGAAAGAGTGATTAGAAAACAGAGATTGTGCTTGTGTATCTGGATATGAGTTTTTATTAAGAAATAGTTTCAACACAGTTTTTGGACTCGGAATTATTTTCCACAACTTTGGAAAAAACTTGTTCACAAGACACAGACAAAATGCACAATCTGAACAACCTGACTCTCATAGAAACCAAGCCAACATACTCTGTGATGTAAATGCACACCACTAAAAACGGATACCAGTGTCAAACTGGACTGTTTCCACCAATCAATTCATGTGATAAACCAAACCAGTCATGTGGTTCGTACCAGGTCTGACCCACTCAACTGGTTTGGGCATGACACAAATGCTCCATGAGTAATTTTGAGACAGTACAGCATCTCACATTTATGATTTTTTTTTCCTTCCATTTATTAGAATGGCACAAATGAGCTTCCATACAGGGCCTTATTTTCCACGACAGGTGGATTTTGTTTTTGCTCCATTTACCATGAAAGAGCTGGATGTGGAAACTTTGACCCACTGAGCCAGTTCAGAAATAATTAGCTGGTTCTTTTTCTTCTAAAAACAACTTTCCCTTTTCTCCTTTTAGGCTACTTCATTAACAGAGATTAAAAAAAACAACTTCCTTCTCTCGTATAACTGAAAGCATACCGTATCCTAACTAGACTGTTAAATAAGTCTTAAGGATATTTTTATTTCATGGGACGAGGCACATGATTACTGTTTGATAGTTGACTTTCAGAGGCAGCTGTAATTTTTTATTTAATTTTAATATAAAAGTAAAAAAAAAAAAAAAAAAACTGTGGCTAAAAATAAAAACATTTATGGATTTACCTAAATGCCAACAATCATTATTTTAATTTTTTTCCTTAAAATTTACATTTCTTTGTTAAATTGCTTCCATGTTTATTTGAGTAGCAAAAAAATAACTTATATCATCTGTTTAAATGAGAAAACCAGATGTGATTCCTGTGTAATCTTTACAATAATATTTTTTTAATTAAACCGATGTTTTGTGTTTGGGGCAACACTGTGTCTAAAAGAGACGTTCAGTCCTAAGAGTTTTATCTCCTGCAGAACTAGAGATGAAAAATAATAAATGGCATGTTGAATAAAATTTGATGCAATTAGTTATAAATCAAACAATATACGTAACAGAAAAAATTAATAATTTTATTGTTTCAAAGAACATCCAAAAAGTTTTAACATTCTCAACTAGATGAAGAAATTATTGACAAATACAATAAATTTGTGCACTGAAAAAGTCCAAAAAAACCAAATAGTAATTATTTTTATTGTAATTTTCTATTTAGGAATTTCAGTGTTGTGGTCACAAAAAAATTTAATAAATTGAGGGGATTTAAAAAAAATGACGTGAGTAAAACCAGCGGTGGCGTGAAAACTCCATCCAGGATCCGTCTGGGTCATTAAACAGTTTGAAGCTGCATCAAAAAAGTAGAAAGCACAAATAAAATAAGGGAAACAGTCCCGTTTTAATGTTTTATATACGGTATATTAAAAAAAAAATAAAGACACCAAATTCTCCTGAATCATGAAGAGCAGCACAAAGCTCAAAAGTCAAAGATGACAGCTGTTCCTAAATAAAACATTAAATGTTTGTGATCAACATACGCTGTCATCCAGGCGCCTATTTAAAAAAAAAAAAAAAAGTTTATTTCAGCAAGACAAGGTTGCTTTGAAAAAGAGCTGCAGTGTCAGACGAGAACGACCGTCTTAAAAACACAAAACATTCTGTTTATGATCAGTTTTTTGTTCTTCGTTCAGATAAATATGGTTATCTCAGAGTATTTCTTTGATTTTTTTTTTAAGGATCCCATTTTTTGAAAATGGTTTTTGTAGAAATACAAAAACTACAACAATGGAAGACATAAACAAATTCTAGAAAAACCAACCAAAAATGTAGAAATATACATAAAAAAGTCCAAATATTGTTTGAAGTTTACAATCAATATGATAATGCTCTTTCAAAATAATGAGTATTTTTATATATTTTTTAAATTTTTAGTCTTGCTTTTTCCACTTTATATGAACGGGGGCTGTGAATATTCAGACTGCAGCCAAACAGGAGAAGACAAAGAAACCTCCTCCTCCTCTCACGTCACATCAGAGGAATTTTGTTTTGTCTAAAAGAAGCTAAAGCAGATTTTTTTCATAGATGAACCCAAAAAACAAGGAAAAAAAGATCACAATGGACTGTCACAAGCTGCATAAAATGCTCCATGACTTCTCTGCAATGATTCTAACTTTGAGTTTTAGAGACGGACCCAAATCAACCAGAAGAATTCTCCTTATTTGGGTTTCAGATCGTCTAAATCTACTCAACCAAACCCAGTTCTGATGATCACGAAGGTCACGTTGTTTCCACTCTCATCAAACAACTCGGCTCCTCTGTGTGGAAGAAGTCAAACATTTAAGCCTGAACTCAATTATTTGTAAAAGTTAAAAACACGTTTCAAGAAGAAAGAGTCTTGGAGGTGACATCGTCTCTTTCTTGCAGACATGAACTTCCAGCTCTGGATAAAATACAGCTGTGAGTTGGGTTTGGATGTGGAAGAGTCAGAACCCAGTCGACAAACAGGGATGTAGATTTCAAACGCTGGCGAGGATTCAGGCAGGATAAAAGCTTCAGATGGGCAGCTACGCTCAACTCACCCACCTTGGATAAATAAAGGTTTATTAAACCGCGACGACGCTGGTTTCACAACCTGATCAGCTGCTGTTTGAGTTTTTATTGCACCTCGAGAACTCTGCAGCTGAAGCGTTTCCAAATGGCACCGTTAGAGGAGTTCTGGTTCCGGATGATCAAACGTTTACCACCTCACCGCAGCCTCACCTGCTCCTCTTCATCATCACAACAAACCTGGCTGGAGCACATGTGTCTCAGAACTACTCCGACTGGAATCCAAAACAATCGACTGGATTTTTTTATAAACTACATCTGCCCTGAAGTTTAAACCACAACTACAAATTAAAAAACACAACGTTATATTAAGCAAAACTAGAAGGGATGGGAAAGGTGGGAGATGGGACTAGTGGGAAACGTGAGACATGGCCGATTGGACGACGAGGTGTTCCAACCTCCCACCTTTCCCACGTCTTCCACTTTTGCTTAATGTAGTCGTTTCTTCAAATGTAGTTGCGTTTTTTCAAATGTCAAAAAAGTCCATGCTCAATAATCCAGGTATACAATCCAACAATTTTCAGTCAGGTCATCTGGACAGTTTCTTTTTTTTTTTCCTGAAACGTTTCACCTTCCATCCAGAAGGCTTCATCAGTCAAGGAAACACACACAAAACTGATTCTTCCCCCAAACAGCTTACTCCAAAGTGGAACAAACCAGTTGTGTTGGTGCTAAGATGGTGTCTTTGGCACGCCCCCTCCTCTTGTGCCGGCCCTCTTCCTCGTCGACAGTCATGTCAAACTGGTTCAAAACCAAAAAAGAAACTGTCCAGATGACCTGACTGAAAATTGTTGGATTGTATACCTGGATTATTGAACATGGACTTTCTTTGGAATAAGCTGTTTGGGGGAAGAATCAGTTTTGTGTTGTTTCCTTGACTGATGAAGCCTTCTGGATGGAAGGTGAAACGTTTCAGCAAAAAAGAAACTGTCCAGATGACCTGACTGAAAATTGTTGGATTTTTTTCCAAGTATGTTTTTTCAAATGTTGTTGTGTTTTTGTAATTTGTAGTTGCGTTTTTTTCAAATGTTGTTTTTTTTTATTTTTTTTTAAATGTAATCATGTTTATTCAAATGTTTTATTTCAAATGTAATTGTGGTTTTTTTATGTTGTTTTTTATTCAAATGTAATCATGTTTATTATTTTGTAATTGTGGTTTAAACTTCAGGGCCTCTGTAACTTTATTATAGATCGTTGTAATGAATTGTAGGAGGTTAAGTGACTCTGAGCCTGAACTTGAACACTGCAGTTTAAATTCTCTCATATTTTGGCTTTACTTTATAATGTTTTGTTGCATTTTCTTCTTGTGGTGTCGCTCGTTCTAGCAGCCTGAATAAATGTGTAATAAATGCTCATCTGTGCTTTAAAGAATCTCTACAAGGCATCAAAAAGTCAAATCTGTTGGGGACAGTTTGATGATTTCTTACCCATTTAAAGTTTAACAAACACAAAAAGTCCCAGTATTCAGTCGGGTGGTTGATTTATTCCAACAGAGGTTCTGGTGTTTAGGTTGATGCTTGTTTTATTCCCCGGTGTCGGCACAGAATCAGCGTAGATCTGTGACGGTCTGCACTCCAGGTCCAGCACGATGTGGTGGACATGAGGTGCGTACGACTTCACATTTTCTATGTGCTGGATGCTTGTTACCCACAATGCACCGGTGAGGTTCCTTAAAAGTGAAGCGATTCGGTCTGCGGCGTCATCGGCCCAGGACTGCCACGCCTCTCTGTCAGTCCTCTTTGCAGAAACTCTCCGAGTCTCATCGTCAGCGGCGCGGTTCTGTAACGGCGAGGTGACGTTCTGGTGAATGTGTAAAACGCCGCCGGTTGTTCTCTTCAGCAGGCGACAGGCGACGGGCCAGCCGTCCTCCGAACTCGGGATGAGACCTAAGTTCACGCGGTCGGCAAAGTCACACAGCTGGAACTGGAAGAGAGAATTGAGAAAGGGAAAAAAAAGTTGAATAAAGAAAACTTTTTTTAAAAACCTGATCTGGAAACCTCAGAAACCATTTCATCAAAATATCAAGAAGGAGATGATTTTGTTCAAATAACTTTTCAACTCTGATTAATGAAGCTCTGAAAATGAACCATGGAAAAAGTGACATTTTAATCATATTAAATTGTAACTAATCTGCAGTGAGGCATCTTTCAAGTTTTCTACTCAGATCGTCTTCTAAAAAAGTAACATTCACTTTTTACACAGCTAAAATGCCACATATATGTTTGTAATTATGCAGGAAAAGCATTAAATTTAAACAAAGATCCAGAATTAACAAGTAACAATCATTTTCTGAAAGCAAACACTACAAAAGTTTGTATTTAAAACAGATTTTTCTGTAAAAATCCAGTGTGTCAGTCTATGAGGTTTTCACAAAAACAGTCACAAAATTTTGATTTGTTATTCAATTTATTAAAACAAAATTAAAACGTACTTTTTCACATATATTGAGAATTTAGCAGGAATATCATGTCCACTAGAGGGCGACATTGACCAGAGTTATGAATTGATCTGCTGCAAGTTTCATGAATGTCCAGTTGCATGCTCAATAATCCAGGTAGAGTACGGTAAATAAATCTAACAAGGTTGAGTCAGGTCCTCTGGACGGATTCTTCTTTGATGAAACGTTTCGTCTTTTATCCAAAAGACTTCCTCAGTCTGAGGAGCTGCTACAAACTCAGTCTTTTACAAAGCACTTTGTAGTTGGCAGCTCAGAACACCACATTCAGAACACCATGGACTTTGTGGACAAGGTGAGGGGTGTCATCATGGAGACTGATGAAACAATGGTCTCTTTTGATGTCACACCACTCTTTACGTGCATTCCTGTTGATGATGCAGTAGAGGTGGTCAGTTTAAAATTAAAATCAGACACCACTCTGAGCAGCAGGACCACGCTTTCCACAGAACAACTGTGTCAACTCTTGAAACTGTGCCTGCAGTCAACCTACTTCACATATGGGGAGCAATATTATAGGCAGAAACATGTGTGTGCTATGGGGTCTCCAGTTTCTCCTATTGTTGCCAACCTGTACATGGAAGAGGTAGAAAAGAGAGCCTTGACGTCCTTTTCAGGGACACCACCAAGTCATTGGTTCAGGTATGTTGACGACACCTGGGTTAAAATTAAATCTCAGGAAGTCCAACATTTTACTGACCACATCAACTCTGTGGATAAATACATCAAGTTCACACGAGAAGATGTAAAAAATGGCAGGTTGGCTTTCTTGGGACTGTGAGGTCTCAGTCTCTGATAGAGGACATTTGCAAACCGAGGTGTACCGCAAACCCACCCACACAGACCAGTATTTGCAGTTTGACTCCCATCACCCTTTGGAGCACAAGTTAGGAGTCATCAGGACTCAGTACCACAGAGCAGACAGCGTCCCCACTAACTCAGGAGCCAGGCAGAAGGAGAAATCCCACACAAGACAGGCTCTAGAGCAATGTGGATATCCTAACTGGGCCTTCATGAAAGCAGAGAAGAAACCCAAACAGGACTCCAGTCAGCCATCAGGTGAAAAGGAGGAACCCAGACCCAGACCAGTGGTCATTCCATATGTTGAGGGAGTATCAGAGAAACTGAGACGTTTATTTTCTAAACATAACGTCCCAGTGGCTTTTAAACCCCAAAAAACATTACGGCAAAGACTGGTTCATCCCAAAGATCCAGTCCCCCGGCACAAACAGAGTAATATTGTGTATGCTGTTCAGTGTCAGGAGGGTGATCAGTCTTACATCGGGGAAACAAAACAGCCACTGGCCAAAAGGATGGCCCAGCACAGAAGATCAACATCATCAGGCCAGGACTCTGCGGTCTACACTCATCTCTAGGCCAGCGGTCACTCTTTCAGGGATGAAGATGTTCACATCCTGGACAGAGAGGAACGATGGTTTGAGAGAGGAGTAAAGGAGGCCATCTTTGTGAAAAGAAACCGTCCATCGTTAAACAGGGGTGGAGGCCTCCGTGTTCAACTGTCCCCCTCTTACAATGCTGTTATTGCTAGTATCACTCAACCCCCTGTGAATAGTAAACAGCCATCAGGTCATTAACAATCAATTGTTAGGCTGATGTTCCTCCTTTTACATGTGAACAACTAGTTGTAGTTGTCACCAACAAACTGGTTGATCCACCACTGAAGGTTCTGTTTATAAGACTGAGTTTAGCGCAGCTCCTCAGACTGAAGAAGTCTTTTGGATAAAAGATGAAACGTTTTAACAAAGAAGAATCCATCCAGAGGAACTGACTCAGCCTTGTTAAGTTTCATAAAAAACAAACAAAAAAAAAATCACATATAGAATAAATATTTTATGTTAAAGTCACTTTACTTGACGATTGTCTCCTTGATGAACGGTACAACGATCCGACACCCCGTTTGCCTCGAGGTTTTTCTGTAAAGCTGCAGCAGCGTCAGGGTTCCACTCGCAGGCGAGAACGTGAGCGGCCTTCGCATGGACCAGATAAGGCAGGGTGAAGTATCCAATACCTGAGACGTCACACACGTGTTATATTTAATTAGCAGGTAGTTTTATAATTTCTATTATTTTTAGTATTAAATACGGATATACTTTAAGGCAACGACAAAAACTGCAGATTTCCTAAGATAAAATAGAAAAGTTTAACGTGAAGTGGTTTAATTTAGATTTTTATTTTAAAAATAAGTTAAAAGCCAAGATGTTTTACCAGGAAGTGAAGCAAGCTTTTGGTTTAATTAAACTGTAGAGGAGCTCATGTCTCCCTCAGAATCTCACTAGAGCCAGAGCACGATGCTTCGAGTAAATATTTCAGATGTTTAAAAGCATCACAGACAGAAACAAATCGGAAGACACGCTCTGAATACAAGAAAAACAGGCTTGTAGTCTTGATTTACTGATTTACTGCTTCAAAGTCTATTTTTGCTTCAAAGTTTATATATTTTTGATTATTACATGCAAATGTCAAATAGTGGGGATGTAACGATCACTTCTGACTGACCCGACACGCAAGTGGATCATGTTTCTTCATGTTCAACAATCCCACTCACTGTCTGTTTACTGTCTTTTAAAAAAAAACTAATTTAATCTTCGGTCTCACTTTATTTATTATCTATTCACTTTTGTTTTTGAGCAACTTTTGATTAGTTTTACGTTTCAAAAGGATTTTGATTTTTCATTATTATAGTCTATTCACATTTTTCCCCGTAATTTTTCATGTCTCTTAGTGGCTCAATAACTCAATAAAACACACAGACTAAAAAAGATCCTTCTCATAAAAAATGAATGTGAATGGAATCAAACAAAACTTCTTTAAGTGGTGAATTAGAGAGTGGTGAACCTCTTCACTGAAAATTATGTAAAAAAAAAAAAAAAAAAAGAAATTTGCCAAAAAGCAACTTGTTTTCATCCTTTAATAATGACAGTGTTAGGACAATCGAGGACAGGATAGTGTATTTAGCAGTGATCATAAATATGCCTGGACTTCATGAAGAAAGAGAAACCTTGCACTAAAGCTCTTTAGGCTATGCTTTTGTTAATATTTATAGATACATTTACAGTACAACTGTTGTGTTTTGTTAAATAACACTGTAAATCTGTTTACTCTTCACAAAATTTTAGTATGTTCTCCTGAGTGAAAGAAGTGTAATATAGTTTTACCTGCGTATAAATCCACCACAGTCTCTCCTCTGCAGTCAAATCCAGCCACCCGGAGCTTCTCTGTAATGTTTCCAGCTGAGAACATACATTTGGTAACATCGAATTCATAGCTGCAACACAAGGAGTTTATTAAGAGCACCATCACAAGCTATTAAGAAGCTAACAAAACGGATTATTATAGACTTACCTGATACTGTTGTCCACATGTTTGACCCAGCTGTTCTCTCCTAATAGCATCATCACCACAGGAGACCTGAATCCATCCCTGGATATTCGGCTCATCTTTGCCAGCCGCTTCGCTCCGAGTCCTTTGGCCACTGTACTCCATAACTGATCATCTAATTAGTAATAATAATAAATAATAATAATGTAATACCTGACAGTTTTGCTCAGTTTGCATTAAAGCACAAGTACCTATTTTCTTCCACAAAGGCAGGGTGAAACAGTTGTCTCCCAGCAGGATGAGGTCTCCATGCCTCTGGAAACTACGAGGAAGGTCCTTCTCTAGCTCCTGCATCCATCTCTCACCATGAGACTCCAAGAGCTCCTGGAGGAACTTCTGCAGGTTATTTACACCTGGTTTCCCTTTGGTTTTCTTTGACTGAAGTAGAGACTGAGAGGAAGTCAGTGAGACAGCTTTAGATAAGCTATAGAAACATTTATGTGCTGTGGTACTCACCTGACTCCAAGTTATGTCACAATCAGAAGATACATTGTTTCTGAGAGACTGAAGATCAAGCTGGGACAGCCTGGACGGTAAAATAGGCAGGAGGACTGTCCCATCCGAGTCTTTAACCAAGCTCAGACTCGGGTCAAGCAGCCCTCTGGACTGAAGACATGTCCTGTAAAATCAACACTTCAGTACATCAAAAAACCCTGTAAAACTTTGAGCAACTGTTGTCTTTACGCTAACAGCTAGCAAGCCTAGCATACCAGATGTTCATTCAGTAGAACAATAATTACCTGAACAGCTGTGCATGACATGAAAACACACGAAGACACGGGACGCCTTCCATTCATAAGCAACCATAAAAACGTTGTATTTCTATCAAAAACTGCTTACAAAAAGAAATAGAAATTGCTAATAGCTAAGCGGTAGCGGTCACATCGCGTCACGTGTTTCTAGTCGGATTGTTATTATGAACGGACCTACTGGTACAGCATGCAGCTTTCAAATTTATGACATTTTTGTTACTTTATTTTTTTTTAGTTGTATTTTTTATTTGTTTTAAATATGTTTAGCGCAATTTATGGTTGGGATAAATTAAAAGAAAGCGAAAAAAAACTAAACTCATGAATATCAGATTTAAGATGTTGTACTCTGAAGCGATAGATGGAGACAAACTCAACTGTCGTGCCTCTTGACTGAGGAACACACTTTGTAGGAACGAATGAACTTTGAAACTTTAACTCAAACATTTATCTAAAATAAGTAACTATATTTTCTTATTTTAGGATAGAAAACAGAAAAACGTATTAACCCACTTAAGAATGATCATCTATGTGTCACATGTGACTGGTGAAATGGTTAAAATAATAAATCATTTGGTTTTTCCTCCAACAAAGAGTCAATTTTGGCATTTCTCTTATTCCATTTCAATAAACAAACAAACATAAATAAAATAATAAGTAAAAACAAGATACATTTCTGCTGCAGCACCTGGGATACATGACCTTTAATCCCATGTGGCTCCAAAATAAATAAAAGATACAGTAGTCTACAGTACACAATTTAGTTTAGCTAGTTTCTCAAATTTTGTTCTCTTTTTGGCTTTAAATTAAATTTAAAATCTCTAAGATTACTGAAAGACCCCCCCCCCCCCTCCCCCCCCACAAACAATTAATACTTCCCTTTTTTTTTATATATTAAAGTGATCATTTATATATTTTTGTGAGTGAAGAACCATTCCTGGTGAAATTAACTGGTTAGCTTTTAGCAGATATTTTGATTTGTGAAATTAAACTATGTAGTAAAGATTCTATTTCTTTGAGTTTGACTATTGTTGATCTTAAACTGTTTTTGCTCTTTTGGGATAAAAGTTTTTCACCAGTTTTAAAATCCATGAGATGAGTCATTGAGCTTTCTTCGTGCAGAATAATGAACTTTATTGATCTTCCCTGATGAAAAGAACCGTGGCGTCTGATTTTAAAAGACTCAGTTGTCTGCTGTGCATTTAAATCAGAGTTGGCTGGTTGGCCAGAGCTACATCTGAACAGGCCTGTTTTAATTAAATCCTCCACCTGGGCCTCCGTATAAAATGAGACAGATCTAAAGGAATTTTAAATTATGCTTTCTGATCTGTAATAACAACACTGACTTTATCTTCTATCACTTCACCACTTGCTCTTGCTGAGATCGGACACTTTCCCATCCCCTCCCTCTCTGCTTTGCTTTGCTGCTCTGTCTGTCTGTGAAACTGCTTGTGAGTCTCTCTTGCATTTCTTCTGAACCACAATTATGGACTTGTTTTGACCAGTTGGTCCCTCAACTCAATTTACATAATTTCTTCGAAGAGAAGACGGGCTTTAGTCGAGCCAATTTGCCCTGTTGGCACGCACGCAGCTGGATATCTCATCAACTTGAAGACTTGATGATGTGTCTATCTCTGCTGCCAGTTGTGGATTTTAAGGACGCATATTTAATTGGATTTACGATAACTGGTTCCTGCTTTTTGGATTCGGCTGGTTGCTGGTTTTATCTACAATCAAGAGAGTCGTCGGCAGCAAGTTTGGACCCGATCACGCTGCTTGCCTTTATGTCTTGAGTACCCAGACTCAAATGCTTTGGGCAGAATGGATCAGATCTCTGGGATTTTACTCAGTCATGTTCCATCGTTGTGGCCATGTAATTTGGACATTTCGGAACCGAGTCAAGCAACACAGACTCAAGGTAGATGTCATTAAGTTCTACCTGTACCCAAAACAACTGTGTTTATCTGAATTTGGCTCCCTTGGCTGGCCTTGAAGGCCATCTTCTCTGAATTCGCCTGGAGAACAAGTGATCTGACACTCACCACCTCCTCCCTGAGGAATTTCCGACTGATAACCAGATGGAACCAGCTGAATAAACTTGTGTCATCATTTCAGGACTCTTAGATTATCATAGTCGTTATTCTTGGCCATTCCTCGACATCCCTCGAGAATGTTTACGGATCTCACCGGAGGACATTGACTGAATATTACATCCTGTCAGAACTCTTACAGTGCCCTCGAGAGCATCTATGAACATGCTCACCGCTCTCGTCGTCCCCCTCTGCAGAATGTCTACGTCACTATGTGCTTGTTTGTGCGAGGTGTTTTTTAATATCAGAGTTTTTTTCTTTTCAGGCAGGAAAAAAAAAGTCTGATAGGAATTTTTTCACCTCCAATTCCTTGGTGTCCCGTTTCACTACTTTTTGTTTGTCTAAACAGATCTCACTTGTAAATTAGTCTTCTAGGCTCAATGTGACTTATCTGTCTAAATAAAGGTTGAATGAAAAAAAAAATCTGAATAATGACATCTGTAGTCTCACTACACATCTTTATAAATAAAATAAACTAATTTAATCCTTAAGAGATTTTGAGTCACTTTTAACCTTAAGTGGATGACTAGGATCCCACATATTATACACTTTTTGACGTAGTTACATTTTTGGCACATCATTTTTGGACACACCGGCTTGTCTAAAGGATTTCTGTTATTGGCAACAATTTCCTCAAAAACAAACACGGGACAGATAAAATACATTCTTTGTCTTTTTAAGCAATGATTTAGAAAACGACCAAAACAAATCGTCTTTTGGAAAGTGGAAGTTAAAAATTGCACCAGGTTGTTGAGTTAGAGCCAAATATTCTGACGTTTCCTTAGTGAAAACACATAATAATAATAATAAAATCACAGTGGAACTACTGCGGACATGAGCTTTTTATGTATTTATTTATTAACCTTTATTTAACCAGAAGAATCCCATTGAGCTTACAGATCTCTTTTGCAAGGGAGGCCTGGACCTGAAGGCAGCCTAACATGCATGTTTTGTTGTTGTTGTTGTTGTTGTTTTGGTCTGTGAGAGGAAACCAGAATACCTGGAGAAAACCCACACAAGCATGAGAAGAACATCCAAACTCCACACAGAAAGACCCCAGGTCCAACTGGGGATTGAACCTACGACCTTCTTGCCATGAGACAACAGTGCTAACCGCTGATCCATCGTGCTGCCATTTTGACTTCAGCTAACAAGTTTAATGCCACAATGAACATTCATTATCTATCTATCTATCTATCTATCTATCTATCTATCTATCTATCTAT